GCCCCAGCGTGGGGCTGGGAGTGGAGCCTCATGAGCTAAAGGCTGCTCCAGCCTCCATGTTGGAGCGGTCTCCCACCCAGATCCCAGTTAACTAGTTAACTGTTAGATCAACCTAACATTTAACCAGTGAATTGATTAACCAGGATTTTACATCCCTAATTTCTACCTGATACATACTTGAGTGTGTGGGAAAGCATAGGACGTATCACGTAATCTTTTAATCTGGAATTATTAAAATCTCAATTTTTAAGCATGGTTCAAATTCAACTATTGTAAAAGAGTGATTATCGCATCTGAAAAAGTAGGTTTTGCCCACGAAAGCTCATGATACCATCTACATGTTTTGTTAGTCTTTAAGGTGCTACTAGACTATTGTTTTTTTTAAATTTTTCCTGTTACAGATTAACTCAGCTACCTCTCTGAAGCTTTATCCCATCAGTATGTCTATTTTAAATTAACAAATATTTCTAGGTCCAGTTGAGAAAATGTTGTCAATCTGGCTACCTCAGCGTGTCCATATACCCCACTAATGGCAGGCAGAAATGTTAATGTGAGGTTTACTGCTCATGTAGTAGGGCGGTTTGGTATGGCGTAGGAGTCTGTGTGCGCTGAGTGCTCTGTGTTGGCAACTTTGGCATCTTGGGGAAGTAAGAATAGTCTCCTTCCTTTCCCTCCTCCATTCATCTCCCACCATCCTTTTCACGCAGCCCTAACTCAGTGTTTTGAACATTCCTCCTTTTCCTATGTTAATCAGGAAGCCTCAGTAATCCCACAAACTTCCTTCACAAACACTTCACCAGTTCTGAACACATCATCCATTCTGCTCCCTCCCCTGCCACTGAACTTGTTGCCCCACATCACTAAGCAAGTGTGTCATAGGGTTTGATGAAATTGTGGGTGAGAGGGAAGAGCCACAGGTTCTCTCTAATTGCCATGCAAGTGCCAGGCCATTCTTTATATGGAAAGACGACTGCTACATTGTGCCTGTGTAAAAGCAGCACTTTACTTTTAGACCTTGTCAACACTGATGGTGGTGTATAGGGTGTGTGTAGCTACAAGCTTAAGGAGAAAGTGGGCTGCCTCCACACTGTGGAATTGTAGCTACACACAACAATGAAAAGCTCTAGCCAGGCAAAGGCAGTGGGGAAAGCTTCTGGCAGTGTAAACATGGGAGGCACAACTCGGGCATATAGGGAGCCAGATGCAGCATATACCCTAATGTTCTGGTGTTTCATTGCTCATGTAAGCAATGCCTGGGCAACTACGTTGCTGTTTATACCTGTGCTAGGGGGGAGAGGGGATGCTGCCACCATAAGTGTAGACAGAGCCTTAGTGATCTTTTCTATTGCTTTTCTTGAGGCCTCATAGGAAAAATTAAGTTAATTACCCCATTTGGGTTTTCATATACATTCTCCCACACAATTTTACTCACTGGCAAATGAGTAATAATTAACATGAATGTTCACACACGGTGCATAAGTGTTTTTACACTTTTGTGACCAAGATTTTGTACTTAATAACCAGAGCATAGGTCCAGGACAGGACTAAGGTGTGGCAATGCCGAGCGTGTTGCATCACTTAATTTTTAGATGCCCTGCCACCCACTTTTAGATACACTCAACCCTGCATGAAATAGCCAGGCTTCATGTGTAATGCATGGGCAGAATTAGGTGCAAAAACAAGGGTTTCAGAGATGCCAACAAGCTAAATGAGGAAGTGCTTAAACCAGCCAATAGGAAATTCTGAGAAGAGGGATGTTACCCAAGTCCTGCTCCTCAAAGGTATTGTGAATGCCTGTTTCTAATCAGGCTTTTTCTGGGGTTAGATACCTAAGCCAGGTCAGCCCTTTCTCATGAAAAAATAAAGACAGTCACCCACCTTATCTCGTTATATGCAGTAGTCCAGTGGTAAGAGCACTGACTTGGGCCATGGG